AACCAGGTGTCATGGTGCATGCTCAGGAGGCAGAGACTGGTGGATCTCTATGAGTTCCAAGCCAGTCAGAAACCCTGTCTCAAAAAGAAAGGGAGGAAGGAAGGAAGGAAGGAAGGAAGGAAGGAAGGAAGGAAAACAAAAAGGAAAGAAAATGGGGACTGGAGAGGTGTATGAACAGTTAAGAATGCTTACTATTTTTACAGAGGATCATAGTTGGGTTCCCAGAACCCAGGTCAGATGGCTCACAACTACCTGTAACTTCAGCTCCAGGAGTTCAAATGACATACACTAAAAAATAAAAATAAAAAAGTCCTTTAAAAAAAAGATGATATGAAGCTGAGGGGAACAGGGAGGTAGGGTGGATCTGAGAAGAGTTAAGGAGACAAGTTGGGGTGAATATGATCAAAATATGTAGTATTAAATTCTCAAAGAATTAATAAAAATATTTATTTAAAACATTTTTTCCAAAAAATTGAATTCCCACTATATAGAATAGTATAGAGATTAATGAGTTAATTTTGTTTTGTGTTTTTGAGATGAGATCTCCTTTATATAACCCTTGCTGGCCTAGTACTTCCTATGTAGATCAGGCTGGCCTTGAACTTGCAGCAATCCTCCTGCCTCTGCCTCTTGAGTGCTGGGATTACAGGCATGTGCCACCATGATCAGTTATGAGATTATATCTTTAAAAACTTATTACAGGGCCTGGAGAGATGGCTCAGCAGTTAAGAAAACCTGCTGCTCTTGCAGAGGACTCAGGTTCAGCTCCCAGCACCAACATGGCACCTCAAATCTGTCTCTAACTCCAGTTCCAGGGGATCTGATGCCCCCTTCTGGCCTCTGTGGGTACCAATCCTACACATGGTGCACATACATACATGCAGGCAAACACACATGCGCACAAAATAAAAATAAACATTTTTTTTTACAATTTGCTACAATGCCTAGTGTATATAGTTACTGACCATAAGTGTTAGCCAAGGAGTAAGTTGGTCAATGAAAATAAGTCAGTAAGGAAAAAGGGCTGCCAGTGCCCTAGGCTTCACTAAGACATACCACCAGAACCCATACTTTGTAAGCCTCCTGTGAAACCCTCCACTCCCCTTTCATGTATGCACCCATGCACTATCCTACTTCTCTTGACACTTGCTCAAGCTGCCTAGCTGTCCTTCCTGCTGTTCCTGCACCCACACATCCCTCAACACCTGATCAGCCATGCCCTCTTCTCCAAGTCTGGACCTGAGAGAACAGGGTAGGCAGCGCTTCCTCTGGCTCCACCAGAGTCCTACTAGAAGCACCTGTCCATTTGCAGATCAGCCCTACCCCAACCCTGATACCCACCTCAGACCAGAACTTCATGAGGGCAAAATGCAGCATACTCATCTTTACATCCTCGGAGCCCAGCCTAACCCAGCCAGGTACTCACTCCCAGGGAAGGTCTGAGTATTCACCCTGGGCCTCCTCTCATCCCTTCAGGACTGGGGCTGGAGTAGGGTTCCCAAAGCTGACCTCTGGCTGCAGAGAGGATGCGAGAACGATGCACACCCAGGCGGATGCCACAGTCCTCCAGGAGCTGCTGCTCTGACACGCGGTGCAGTAGGGAGCGGTCCAGGCCGCAACTGACTAGGCCGTAGGTGTACTGCCGGAAACGAGGGTCCAGGCTGCCCAGCCAGTCCGCTAAGTTGCTGCGGTCGCACGTGGCATAGTTAGCGAAGGTCTTGAGCTCCGTGAGCTCCCTGAAGAACCTGCCCCGCGTGGAAAAGACGATGCTAAGATTCTGACTCAGGAACCAGCAGGTTGCAAAGTTAGTTAAGATCTGGCTGGGGGCTCCGTACCTCTTGCGGGTGATGCTTGATTTCATGCCTAGATCTGTCTGGAGTTCTTCCTCTGTGAGGCGTAGAAGCAGATCACCATCCACCTGCTGCTCCTGGGGAAGGGGTCGGGTGTGAGGAAAGCTCCCCTCTGCCCTCCACCCCACAGCACACGAAACAAAGGGGGGGGGAAACAGGAGGCGGCGATGGAAGAGGCTGATAGGACCGTGAGCTGGCTGAAGGCAGCTTTCCCACCCCTAAAAGACCACTGCGGCGCCGCAGGTGTGCGGGCCCAGAGGGGACACAGCGGTCTGTGCTCAGGACGCCCCCCCGCCCCGTAGCCTCGAGACCCTCCGGGACGCGCCTCTCCGTCTAAAGGGAGGTGGATTGCCCGCGGCTCTACCCGAAAGTTCTCGCAGTACTGGGAGAAGCCTATCTGCTGCAGCCACGTCTGGACCTCGGCCTCCTTCCAGCTGGCCACGCACGGTAGGATGCGCCTCGGCACCTCCTCGCCCAGCAGGCGCAGTGCGCGCTTGGCCAGCGCCGACGTGGTGCCGTTGGTGGAGTAAGAAACTAGGCGTTTCAGGCTCTGGATGGCGCCGATGTCGCTGAACACCTTAGGAAGGTTGAGGGAGTCTCAGGTTCACCAGTTCCCCGGCCGCCCTCAGTCGTGCCCAGTCTCATCTCCCACCTCTTTTCACCTCCGAAAGGCCCACTGTCTGCCCTAGCCCAGCCATCATCACTAAGTCACCCAGTCCTGTGCGCTGTCTCCTGAAGCTCACTCCCTGCTACCTTACCTATCTGCCCAGGGATAAAGTCTGTAGCTCTCAGTATAGCCGCCAGGTGGCAGTGCAGCCCCAGCCAGACACTACCAGTTCACACCCCTCTGGGTCTCACGGTGTTCCCAAACCCTTAGGTCTTCTACCCTGGTGGGAATCCCACTCGATCCGCAAACTCCTCCATGCAGATTCTTCCATAATTTGGTCCATTTCTTCACTTGGGACTCCTATCACACTCGGAATGCCACTGTCACTAGTTGTTGATAAGGTGACTTTGACTGGATTGTCAGCTGAGGACATGTCTTAGTCACCATTAGACATCCATGCCTACTATGAAAGACATAGAGTGGGGGCTCAATATGTCTTTGCTGAGCTGCACTCACTTCGCCTTGATAGGAAAGGGGTGACAAAGCTAGTGGTCTGGGCTGCTTCAAGATCCAGTCCTTAGGGTCTTCACTCCCTATTGTCCTCCAGGTCCTTTTTCCAAAACAAAATGATACACGTTAGGGCTTAGGGCAAGAACTCCCTCGGCTCAACTTTGGGATGCAGAAGGAAGAATCAGACTTTCCTAGGACAGTGGATGCTGAAGAGACCTCAGAGAGTCTCTCTCTCTCTCTCTCTCTCTCTCTCTCTCTCTCTCTCTTCTCTCCTCTCCTCTTCTCTTCCTCTCTCTCTCTCTCTCTCTCTCTCTCTCTCTCTGTTTGGAGACAGGGTCCCCCCACAGCCCCAGCTGGCCTGGAACTTGCTATGTAGACCAAGGCTAGTCTCCATCTCACAGAAATCTGCCTGCCTTGGCCTCTCAAGTGCTGGGACTAAAGGTGTGGCCCAACCTGGCTCAACAGTCTCTTTTTGATCTTCACGGTCATTCCTGATGGGTGACAATTACCCATGAGATACAGCCCTCTGACACCCCTATATGACATATGCGGTGCAGACAGGGTAGATCATGGGGTGTACACATTCCCTGTTCAGCTGTTACCAATCCCCAAGGGACCCCAGAGGAAAGCAAAAGAGAGTGGTGTAATAGGGATAATCTCAAATCTGTAATATTTGGGGCCTGGAAAGATGGCTCTGTGATTTAGAGCACTTGCTGCTCTTCCAGAGGTTTAGTTCCCAGCACCCCCAACAGGTAGCTCACAATCACCTATAGCTCCAGCTCCAGGGAATCCAATGCCCTCTTCTGGCCTCCACAGGTACCCACACATGCACATACCACCCCTACACAAATAAAAAATAAATACAATCTGTAATATTTTAAAATCAAAACCCCAAGCTTTTGATAATAAAACTATCACAGTCCCATGATAGGGGTAAGAATTGCTGCTGTTGTCCAACTCCTTCAATTTTCCAGCAGGCAAAGGCTGTGGTTTAGATCTTAGCCATGGGGACAGGACCCAGGTGACATTTGGCTGATGCACTGATGCCCTACCCCAAGGCTTTATCTGCACCTGTCATCTCCTTGTCAGACTCCAGATCTACCCAATGAAGCTTCCCATCTGTCAAGCACCCTAGACAACTTGGTCGGCTGAACTCAATGTCTTCCTCTTCCCAACACCAATCTTGAACCCAGTTTATCTTCTCCGAGTTCGTGGCCAAGTGTCACCCTCAGCTCCTGTCTCTCCTTTCCCTAAACACCAAGTCCTAATGCCACCACTTAACCACCTCTGGAATCTGTTTGCCTCTTGACATCCCTACCTTCACTCTCAATCTGTCTCAACCCCGGCTGCCTCCAATCTCATCCCTGTCAGCCCAAGTTCTCCATAGCAGTCAAATTGATCTTTGTAAAACACAGGGTCTTCTACTTAAAACCTCTTCCTTTTGCTTCCAAAGGCCAAGTACAACTTTGGGTCTTGCCTTCAAGGCCAGAATGACTGGCCCCTCGACCTTCTTCCTGCTTCACCTGATTCTTACCCCTCTCCAAGTCCCGCTTTAACGTCACTTCCTCTGAGAAACCTTCACAAACACTCTCTAGCCCTTGAGCATCTCTAGCCGACCGTCCCCTGCACCAGCACCTTGGTCTTGCCCTGCAGGCTCTTGATGGCAGCCTCCGCGCACAGGTAGAAAGCCCCGATGCACTGAGCTTCCAAACGCGACGAGTCGAGCAGCAGCACCAGGCTCTGCAGATCTTCTGGGCCGCGGCCCTGGCTCGTGTCACTGGCATCCACCAGGCAGCGGGCGAAGCGGCCGGGGTCCAGTGAGGCCACGAGCGGCTCCACGAGCGCCAGAGTGCCCGAGTGCTCTACCTCCCGCTCCACCTCCTTGTTGGTAGCCAACACCGCCACCGCCAGACAGGCGTGCAGTCGCAGCAGCTCGTCCTCCTTGGAGAAGGCGAGCGGGAAGAGCCACTCGGCGGCGCGCTTCTCCACCATGCGCCGCTGCACCGCCTGGCCCCCGTGCAGCGCGCAGTTCGCCAGCGCCAGCGCGCAGTGGCGCAGCAGGGCAGGATCGGTGCGGCGACACCAGTACAGCACCGCGTCCAGGCCGCCAGCGGCCACCAGCCGCTGGCACGTCTCCTCCGAGTGCTTGAACATGTGCTCCAAGATGCCCGCCACGCTCCGCGCCAGCTCCACCGGCTCGCGCTCCTTCGCCAGGTTCAAGATCACGCCCAGTCCGATGCGCGCCACACGGTCCCTGCCAGGAGAAAGAGGGAGGGGATAGTGGAGTTGCAACCTGAGGAGCTTGACTGGCCAGAATAACCTCTTCTTGCCTCGCTGGTGTATGAAACATGGGGGCAGCATAATTACCCTCCCTACCTTCCTCACCCTTGACTCCTCTCGGATAATAAAGGAGCTCTATCCCGGCCACAGCCATCTCCTCCTTTTCCTCCTCCCCTGAAGCCATACAAAACTTCCTGGCTGACACCCCTGACTCCCGGATCCTTCTTTGTTTTCTAACTGCCAACAGTGAACACCTTCATTTCTCTATTTCAGCTTCCTCATCTCATGAACAGGAAAATAATACTTGCCTCGTGAATTTATTATCAAGACTAACAAAACAAGTTAATTCATAAAGAGGCTGGAGAGATGGCTCAGCGGTTAAGAGCGCTTGTTGCTCTTGCAGAGAACGGGAGTTCTATTCCCAGCATCCACATCAGGAGGCTCACAAGGCCTCTAACTCTAGCTTCTGAGGGCACTTGAACCCTTGTGCGCATACACACAAGCAGACACACACACACACACACACACACACACACACACACACAAAAGTAAAATAAAATAAAATAATTAAAGAACAATAAGCCAGGTGTAGTGGTGCAGGCCTTTGAGCCCAGCACTCCGGCACAGAGGCAGGCAGATCTCTGTGAGTTCCTGCCAGCCAGGCCTACATAGTGACTCTGTTTCAAAAAATAAAAAAGGGGGCTGGAGAGATGGCTCAGTGGTTAAGAACACTGGCTGTTCTTTCAGAAGATGGGGGTTTGAATCCCAGCACCCACATGGCAGCTAACAATTGTCCTTAACTCCAGTTCTAGGGGATAAGGCAGCCTCTTCTGTCCTCTTCTGGCATTGCATGACACGGGGGTACGTACATGCAGGCACTGTACTGACCAAACTGACCCCATTTTGCATAGAGTAGCCATCTTAGAAGCATAGCCATAGTGTATTTCTCGCTCAAGGATTGTTTTCAGAAACCCTGACCCCTTTCTCCCTGTTCCTCCCAGGAGAATGCTGCCGTGGTCACTTGTTCTCTAGACATATAGAAAACAAAATTATTATGATATGACTAACTGCTGATTCTGGCTTCTGTACCTTGCTTGTTTTGCTATTTTAGGGCACCTGACATGTAGACTGAGATCACCCTCTACCCTGTTATTCGGGGACCACCTTGTCAACATTCCCTTCTGTGGTTTTTAGCTTTAAAAGTTCCCCTTTCCCTCTCCCTCCCCACTGCAGCACTCTAATCCCATGGGGTGATGGGGTGGCTGCAGTCCAAGCTGGTTTGAATAAAATCTTTTATCTGGATCTGAATTGAGTCTGGTGGCCGTTCCTCAGTAGTCCCGGGGTCCACAATAGCACTACACGCATACACATAAAATAAAAATAATAAAAGGGGGGCTGGAGAGACGGCTCAGCGGTTAAGAACACTGGATGTTCTTGCAGAAGACCCTGGTTCGAATCCCAGCACCCAAATGGCAGCTAACAACTGTCCCTAACTCCAGTTCCAGGGGATCCAACAGCCTCTTCTGACCTCTGCGGGCATTGTATAACACAGGTGCACTTACCTACTTGCAGGCAATACAGGCATACACATAAAAAATAATAAATGAAATATTTTAAAAAAAATAATAAAAG